AATCTTCGGTTTCCTATGGAATCGACCTTATTTGCTACTACTATAATTCAGTATTATTAAAAAATCAGAATTTATTTTTGATAGATTTGACACTCCTCATAAACAGATATGACATAAATATAGAATGTGTATGTTAACTTTTACACATGCTCTGCTAACAAAATAAGTTTATGTTTGTTTCATACGTTAAAAAGATTTTTTATTCAATATCTGACTCGTGGATAAAACTTCTTACTCATTATTGGCTTCATTTTAAAGTTGGTGTTGCAAGATGATTTTATTTCTTATTAGATCAAAACTTATCCATGTGCATTATAACTAAATATTGTAACAATATTCAAGTCATCGTTGATGCTAGAGAAATATCTCCAACAAGTTCAAAAACTTTTCATAATTTGTTGAAAGTGTCTTTTTATAATAAATTTACAATAGATGTATACATTCGTATTTTCAAGTGTTGAGAGTAAATAAATGAATTTTATTAGAAAAAAATTAAGGCTGACAAAGAAAGTTATTGAGGTACACACATTTCAACTTTATTATTCAACTAATATTTTTTTATTTATCATTCAGAATTTAGTTAAATTATTTGTGTGCTTTTATTTTTATAAAAGGCCGTAAATTTAAATTGAGTTGTGTTTTTGCATGTGAGATTTCATTTGTAACTTATTTTTGTTGTATTATGATTAGAGCATTAAAAAATATATATAACTTCTTATATGCTACTTCATTACCACTACTACTTTCCTTTTTTTTTTTTTTTGGTAAATACTTGTAGTTTTAACTTATGTTAAGTTACCATTTTAAAATTAAAAAAAAAAACATTGTTGATTTTAGCAGACAAAATGTATGATAAAAATATAATATAAAAATATTATTTTGACATTGAAGAAAAAAATAGTCAAAGTTAAAAAAAAAAAAAAAATCTGTTTGAATTGTGAATTCCATACATTTTAAAGATATGAATCTTTATTTGCTTTTAAGGTTCTTAAAAAATAATTTGAAATATCTTATAGAATGCATAGGAACTTTTAGATAATACCCCATTAAGTAATTAGTTAATACTTTCTTATTCTATCTTAATTAATTAATCTTGAAATCATTTCGTCTTCCAAATAGATTATCATGTTTAGAATAAATTTAAAAGATATATAAAATTTATTTTACTTAATTTATTATAAAGAGATATAAATTATATTAGAAAATGATAAAAAGTACTAAATCTGAAACTCACACAATACACTTTAAACTTTTATAAATTTTGACAAAATTTAAAATATACTTAGTCTAATTTCACATACTAACTTCAGAAAATTTGCATTAGCGACTTAAATACTCACGAAAGAATTATTACAATAGTTTGATTAACTCTTCTAAATTTTTAAACACCATAAACAATTGGGGGCTATCTCAGCATAAATAATTTCCTTAGCTTTCTTCTTATTGCAATTCCTTCAAATATGATAATATTATATATAAAAGTAGCGTCAACAGATGATATTTCATCAATGGGGACGTCTCCAGAGCACGAGCGCCGCTGGGCCTTCGACACACTCCCCGGAGCATCCGTCTTGAGATCTGGGACGTCTCCCGGCAACGAATCCAACTCCAGTGACGAGTTCGTCCAAATCACCCTTGATCTCCAAGACGATGAAAATATCATCATCCGCAGCGTCAAGCCGGCTACAGTCAGCAATACCGAGCTCAGACGCTTTTCTCGGAGCTATGGCGAGGGGGCTAGGGCTTTCCCGGCTACGTCACCGCTGGCGACGGCTCAGAATGGAGGTGGATTTGACTCGGTTCTGGCAGCTCGAGGGCTGAGGAGGCGGCACGCTCAGCTTGATCGGACTCGCTTCGGCGCCGAGAAAGCGCTTCGTGGCTTACGATTCATCGGCAACCTGAACGATGGCTTCGATTTATGGAACGAAGTGCAAAGTAATTTCGATCAGCTTGCCAAAGACGGTTACCTTCATCGCTCTGATTTCGCTGAATGCATAGGTTAATTTCATTTTTCTATAATATTCAAATTTTTAATTAATTTTGCACATTTGTTTCCAGAAACTAACATCTGAAACTGCATTTGTTAACTTTTTGTTTTTTGAAAAAGATGTTATTGATGGAACTAGAGATTCGAAAGAGTTGGCAGTGGTGCTGTTCGATGCTTTGAGCAGGAGAAGGGGATTGGAAGTTGAAAAGATTAGCAGAGAGGAGGTTTACGAGTATTGGTGTCAAATCACCGATCAAAGCTTTCATTCTCGCCTACAGATCTTCTTCGACATGTACGCAAATTAATTCTCAAGTTCAATCTTAATTTTATTTAATTAGCTTTAGTTAATTCATTAGTATCTTATTTTTTTAATGCAATTTAGTTATAAATTAAATAAATTTTTAATATAAATTTAAAATTAATTTAAGTACGTGTAAGAAAAAGCCTTGGAAAATCCATAATTGGTGTCTGTTGTCAGAAGAGCGAGGTGATGAGAAGAGGACAAAACTGTCTTTGCACGGGAAGTAACCAAAGTATTAAGCTCCTTGATTTTCTAATTTTTAAAGTAATTGAGTGATTAGTAGCTAATTTTGTACGAGTGCTGTAGGGTGGACAAAAATGAAGATGGTAGAATCACGGAAGAGGAAGTCAAAGAGGTAAAATCTTAATCTAATTTTTATTTTATATAAAAATGTCTAAAAGTCAAAACTATGATTATTTCCGTAATTATGTTTTAAATAACATAGTTTAAGCACGCACATTAAAATAATGAGGCCGTAGATTAGCCATTACTCAGCCAATCATTTTCTATTTTTAACCGACTTCCCTGTTATTAGAAAAATGAAGACATATCAATTGATTAGGAAATGAATTAACAAACAGAAATAATCAACGGTAGGCGAGGATTTGGTGAACTTATTTCCGAAATAGTCAATTTTCCTTCTTTGACGGAGCCCACGTTCACAAGCATCTTTTCCTTTCCTATAATTAAATAGATAATATCCTTATTATTCTTTTTTTTTTCAGTGCTAATTAACTGAAAAATTTTGTAGTTTTTACTTTGTCATTTGCTATAGAAATGTATTTGTTTTCATGTTTTTATGTTTTTTGGATTAAATTTAAAATTCGTACGTTTAATAAGATATTATATTACTTAGTATTCTATGTATAGTTTTAAGTTAAGGGGGGGTTTATGTGGTAAATAGATCATCAGGCTAAGTGCATCAGCAAACGACTTATCCGGATTAAAAGAAGAGCCAGAGGAATATGCAGCACTCATAATGAACGAGTTAGACCTTGAAAGACTTGGCTACATCGAGGTGTGTCCTTACAGTCTACTCTCTTCACACAACATGCGCATATACACATACACATACACATACACATATAAACATGATTATGTGTATGCATATAAGATACATATATATAAAATTCTTGCTAGCGTGTTTCATAAAAAAAAAAAAAAAAAAAAAAAAAAAAAAAAAAAAAAACTTTCTTTGCCAGGGGGAGTCTATTTCCAAAAAAATTTCCAGTTATATATTAAAAAAAAGGGATACCGAATATGATCAAAAATTTACTATATTTTTTTAATTACCCAAAACAATTAAAAAAAAAGTTAATTATTCAAGTGGCATTTTTCCTCCCAAAAACTTCACTGTAGACGAGGCGACAACTAACCAGATTTTCCAACTTTTGAGCTACCCTGCACGGAGCAAGGAAAAAAAAAAAGCAAATGGCCAGTTCAGATTTTCCCGTGAAGAATTAATCTACATTTGTTATTTTGCCTAGTATTTTTCAACTCTCTGTGTGTGTGTGTTTATTTTTTTGGGTCAAAACTGTTAAATATGTACTAAAAGGGCTCATTAATCTTAATTCCAAATTTTTAATTAGACATAGTATATGTGATATGAAGTCACTTTATATTTGCATTAAAAAATTATAAAAAAACAATAAAAAATTACTTATCATTTGATAAATTTGATTGTTTTTATGTAATAAAATATTACGTAATTAATAATATAATTAAGAGAACTAATAAGATATTTTAAATAATAAATTTAATAATGAAAAATTATAATTCTTTTCGGGATAAACTTTCTTTGAGATTATTTTAAAATACTTTGTGTGAAGTATATAAATAATTTTTTATTATAAAAATAACTGGTTGTGTTTTTTTTTTTTTTTTGTTTCAATTAAAAATTTATAATTAAAAAAACTTGATAATATTTAAAGATCAAACGTAGCACATAAAATATGCAAAATGATAGATAACCTAAATTAATTTGATTATATATCAATTAATATTTAACTAAATGGTCATTATACTTATATGTATGAGTTCGAGTTAGATTTTGGTTTTATATGTCTATTTGAAATTTTTTTTTATAGTGTTATGGAGGTTGTTTTTATATCAAATATGTCCATTTCTATTAAAAATATTAATTTAATTATGTCAAAACTAGAATAGCTCAAAAACTAGAATAGCTCAAAAACTATTTGAGACAATTTTCCATAGACATATAGGCTAGAGATCTTAGTGTTACTAGTGAGTTCTCATATTAGCATTAATCAAATTGAGAGATATAACAAAAGCATATATAACCTAATCTAGTTAATTATAGATTGGATGAGGCTCTGGATCATGACACAGTTCATAATTTGAAAACTTGATGATTTACCATTTCTAAACTAAATATGTTCCTGTCAATTGTCATGTGGCTTCTGATACAAAAAAAAAATATGGTGGGTTACCATGTGGGTTGTCTTTTTCAGATTAGGCATACTCATCATTAGTCATGCAATATACTTATACAGTGATGACTGACGTAAAGGCCTCCCAGCGTGCTTCATTTTGCATCACTTGTAGTGTTGTTAGTTGAAGATGATGTTTTTTCTGCTTGGTGATTTATTCTATAATAAATGATGATGGCGATGATGATGATGATGGATGTTAATTTTATATATGGTAATATTATCTATTTATATATGTATAAATATTCAGCTGTGGCAACTTGAGACACTGTTTTTACAAAAGGACACGTACCTAGATTATAGTCAAGAATTGAGCCAGAACTTACAGAGTAGCTGCGTACAGAGACTGAGCAGAAAGTTGATTTATTATTTGCAAGATAACTGGAGAAGAATTTGGGTGTTGTCAGTTTGGGTGATGATCATGATTGGATTGTTTGAGTGGAAATTCTTTCAGTACAAGCAAAAAAGTGCTTTTAAGGTGATGGGTTATTGTCTTCCCACAGCCAAAGGTGCAGCCGAGACACTCAAATTCAACATGGCACTTGTCCTCTTGCCTGTTTGTAGAAACACCATTACCTGGCTCAGGTCCACCAAATTCAGCTTCTTTCTCCCTTTTGATGACAATATCAACTTTCACAAGGTCAATTTACCATGCAATATCATATAATAACTATATATAATTTGTATTTGCTTTCTGTATCTAACAATATATTTATGTACATATTTGCAGATTATTGCAGCAGCAATTGTAATTGGTGTAATTCTTCACGCTGGAGATCACCTCGCATGCAATTTTCCCAGGCTTATAAATGTGTCTTCTGATAACTATAATCACTTTTTGAGTAGAAATTTCGGTACCCATAAACCAACGTACTTAGACCTTGTTAAAGGTCCAGAGGGTGTAACAGGAATCTTAATGGTGATCTGCATGGCTATTGCATTCCCATTAGCAACAAGGTGGTTCAGGCGAAGACAGATTAATCTTCCAAAGCCCTTTGGCAAATTTATTGGCTTCAATGCCTTCTGGTATTCACACCACCTGTTTGTCGTTGTCTACATCCTTCTCATTGTCCATGGGGTTTGCCTTTATCTTGTGCACAAGTGGTACCTTCAGACGGTATATTAATTTTGAGCTTTTCTTCTCGTCAATTACATTACAGGTTCATCCCCAAGTTGAGTACATGGCTTTAAATATAAGATATTGAGATTGTTTTTTAAATTCTTTTTGTTAATTATTTAGACATGGATGTACCTTGCTATCCCAATTTTACTGTATGCTGGAGAAAGAACTCTCAGATTCTTCCGCTCTGGCTCCTACACTGTCCAAATTTTGAAGGTAAAGTGCAGGAGCTTCTAAATATAATATATATAATAGAATTCAAGTCTAATTGCCTTGTAACTTTATTTTGTGATATTTTAGGTTGTCATTTACCGCGGAAATGTTCTGAAATTGCAAATGTCTAAGCCTTCTCAGTTTCGGTACAAGAGTGGACAGTATATGTTTGTTCAGTGCCCTGCTGTTTCTCTATTTGAGTGGTAAATACGTAATGATGATCTTATTCTGAATCTACATAATATATTATACACGACAGTTCTATGTCTTGTTTGAGTGCTTGGTCTTAGTAACTTGGCAGATTATTTGTTACTAATGTTTGCTTTAATAAATATGTCTGATCAGGCATCCATTTTCTATTACCTCTGCTCCCGACGATGAGTACCTGAATGTTCACATCAGGACGCTAGGTGACTGGACACTAAAGCTTAGAAGGGTATTCTCAGAGGTGTGCCAACCTCCTGAAGCTGGAAAGAGTGGACTTCTATGGGCTGATGAAACAACAAAGACAAGGTATGTTAGATTCCTCTTTCATACATAGTCCTAGTTTTTACTTTCCTAAACCAATTTATGACTCTAGTCTCTTAATAGCAGTTTGCCAAAGCTCTTTATAGATGGGCCTTATGGTGGCCCTGCACAAGATTATAAGAAGTACGAAGTAGTGTTACTTGTTGGTCTTGGAATTGGAGCAACACTCTTTATCAGTATCTTAAAAGATCTTCTCAACAACATTGATGAGCATGCGGTCGGTAACTCATGATGCTCATAGTAACTTCTAAAATAAACAAAATCTGACACTTGTTTTTTCGTTTGCAGGATTCAGACTCAGATTTAAATAGGACATCAGACCTGAGTGCGGGTAGTAATGATTCCAGCAATTCCAATGGAGTTTCTCCAAAAAAGAAAAAACATGTGAAGATCGCTAATGCTTACTTCTATTGGGTAAATAGGGAACAAAATTCTTTTGAATGGTTCAAAGAGGTGTTGAAGGAAGTTTCAGACCTTGATCAAAGGGTAGGTTTTTCCTTGATCAACTTCGATGTTAATAATTTTTGTGCTTCTTATTTAGTGATTCGGGATATGTGCAGCGTGTGATTGAAATGCATAACTATGTGACTAGTGTGTATGAGGAAGGGAATGAACGGTCGGCACTTATCACCATGGTTGAGGCACTAAATCATGTCAATAATGGGGTTGATATTCTTTCTGGAACTAGGGTAATGCTAACAACAACCCTCCTTTCATGTTTCTTCATTGCTATGTTCATTAGATACTTGCTTAATACATATCCTTCCTTTTTCCTTTTTCTTTTTTGTTAATGTGTTGCTTAATACTTGCTATGTTCATTAGATACAATCTGTTTTCTGTTGAAAGTTGAACTCAAAGTATTGTGTTTATTGGATGGATTGGAGTAGAAACTCCAGTTACAAACTAACTTATCAGTTATAGAAACAGAATGTTATAACATTTTAACTACATGATCAGTTAGTAT